TGATCGCTCACACCAGAGCCAATACTAACTTGAATGAGCAGAAACGTAGCAACATGACGTGGTAACCTCGAGCAATTAGTTGTGCATGCCAGTTATCATAGTTAATGTCTCGACATCGCACATCAATCTAGGACGACTATGTACACGTTCACCTCTCATTATTTTCTTATTTCTATTTCAGCATTCAATGTAAGCCACCTCCTTGACATATGCCAAAAGTACACGTTCGTTCGTTCATTCATTCATTCATTCATTCATTCATTCATTCATTCATTCGTCCATTGATTCATTCAGACAAAAGAAATTGCCTAGGTTGAAGTGAATAAAGGCACCGCCCCCTGACTAAGGTCCTTTTATAACATAAAACATAAACGACGCAACACAAACACGTTTTGTTGAAGTGGTAACGGTCTCTGTCGTCACTTATAATGAGCGCTTTCTTTTTTCTCTAGGCAAAGCCTAAGCAACTCAACACCAGTGTCGCACGGTGAACTGCTGATCCCAATCAAACCCCATCGGTACCAAACTTCTGAACCACGACGGGCTCCCTTTCATACCTTACGTAAGGAAGCCAATCACAATTGGGAAATTCGATCCGGATCAGGCCGGATAGCGACCAAAAGGGACCACGTGACAGCGTTAAATGATCATTGCAAAGTGGCAAAAAATAAAATAACGGTTTCTGCAGCAATTGCAGAGATACAAAGAGCAGATGATGAGTGCATAGATATGAGTGCAGATGAGTGTACAGATACAATGCACTCATCTGCAATCTGAGCGATGAGTGCAGATGAGCGCATGGATAAAAACATTCGATTACGCAAGTCGCAGCATTCCATAGCATCAATTACCATAATGTACGCAAGTTATTTGTTTTGCGCAACTTTTCCTCGCATTCGTAGGAAGTGAAAGCACGTGCCAGCTTACATTCGAAGCGCTTGATTCAACACACACTCACAAAAACAAAAACAACGTCGTAATCATGACGGAGGAGGTTACACATATAAGCATTAGCTATACACGCAGTCAAAAGGTTTGCCCGACCTCGCCTTTGCGAGCATCATGTCACAGATTTGCCTGCTGACCCCGGCGACCTGGGTGGGAAGGAATGGACTTTTTCCTTATATGCTTTTCCTCCCATTACATCATCTCTTCTGCGGACGACCGACCGACTTGCGGAGATGCACAATGGCGCGCATCATCATCGACTGGGGCATTTCATGCGCACACGACGAAAGACAACCACGCGCGCGATTTCGGCTTCGCGGAAAGTCGGCCCTTCCGCTCGTCGGAGTGAGACGATCGGGGACAGTCGTCAAGAAAGAAAAAAAAAAAAGCCGTAACGAAGAGACGACCGCAGTCTTCACGGCGTGGCGCTGAGCCGTGCTCCCAATTAGGGCTGCAGAAGTTGCTTCTTTTCCTTTCCTCGACCTCTCCCTCTCTCTCTTCATGGCGATTATAACCGTGTTCTCGGCTAGTAATGCAGCGCGCAGTCGTCGGATATAAATGGCGTACTTTCCCTTGGTGTGAGCAAAGGAGTGAGTGAGTGAGTAAGTAAGTGAGTGAGAGAGAGAGAGAGAGAGAGAGTGTGTAGGTACTGAGTCTACTCATGGCTGCACGTCATTCAGCCCAATCTCTCAGGTCTTCCACGCGGAAAAACACTGGTGTACTCGACAGTGCGCTTCATTATTTAGCACGTCGTCAGGTTGTATTGTCCACAGCCCTTACCGCTATTTATTTCTCTTTTTTTCGTTGTTTATCCCTCAAGGCGTACCATTTTCCCCAAAACGTGCGCCCAGTGTAAGTGCTATTAAGATCGCGGTGCTGATTTGGGTAGCGTACCCACATATACGTATCAAAGCTGCGCGAACTTGATGAACGACGCAGACGAAATGCATGCGCCCGGAGTGTCGTATAACGGCGCGACAGAAATCGCGCGCATTGAGGATGAATGCGCTCCGTAAATATGTAGGTCGTTAGAACAGTTCGCACACATTCCATGCTGCCTTTCTTTTCCGCATTCGCACAAGCTGTATTGGCGCCGGCTTTCAACGCACAGTGAATTGTCTCGTGTCTGCGCACAGATAGCAATATGAAATATTGATAGCAAATGTATATATATATATATATATATATATATATATATATATATATATATCTTAGACGATAACATAACTTGACACTGGCAGGCAAGTACTGGTGCCAAGTTATTTCGCACAATTTTATTTCTTCACGTTTTCGTTAGAGTTATTTTAACAACATCCCCTATGCTTTTCTTGGCGTGATTGTCAGTAAGTTCTCATTAATATTGTGTCTAACAAAGAAAACGAGCTCTCAAACTTTTTACATTTTCCTTGACTCTTGAATTAAACATACAAGAGAAACTGAACGCTGAATGCTATAACGAAGTGACTTACTGTATGGTATGTCGTGAAAGCAGGGGTATGTCTGAACGAATAGTAATGCGAAGGCTGTGCGTTTTTTTTTTTTTATTCGACATTACGTGAGCAAGCCGATGTGCTTCCAGTCTGCAAGGCCTAAAACACCTATACGTAAGCAATGCACCAACATTTCTCGCCAACAATATTGGGAAGTTGCGTTGCCGTGATGTCATTAAGACTGTTTGGGATCAGTTGCATACGCGTAACAAAAACAAAGGGAAAGGTTGGTCCCATAGAATGTTTTTACTGTATGTATACATGGTATGCACACGCATACGCGCGCAGGCAAACACACAGTCACACACATTCGCAAATACAGGGATGACCAGACCCTTTTTCAAGACGCAATGTTTGCGCTGGTCTTCCCATGGCAAGAAGTCGAACTGAGATTGAGGCTTTACCAGAACTGCGCCAAATAAATACCTGCATAGTGGAACGTGGCAGTTATGTCGCAGTGGTCGTTCTTTCGTAAAACTGCCTCAGGTGCGTTAACTTTGGGACTGTACCGTATGATGATGAACGAATCCACAAGACGACGGAAGGGACAAGGTCCTTGCAATCTGTTCGTTTCGTCTATAGTGGTTATTTATCTGTATGCCCCAATGCAGACTATTATTACTCTTCGCTATGCCGTACCAGCCCAGTTGAAGCCATACTGAATGTGTTGCCTGTATCTACCTGACTGACACTTCGCGACGCGCCGACAAATTCTCCCCAAGAATCGCGAGTGAGTCCACAGCAACAAAGTAATCATTCAGGCACAAAGTGACGACCAGCGACGAGCGAGATGCTGCAAAGCACGCTGGCTTACCCGAGCAGAAGTAACATGGAACACAATAGCCACGTGCAGGATAAGCGCCATTCCCATCCGCAGTTGATTCGAACTATAAAGAGAAGGTTAGACGGACAAACGGACCCTGGGTGCTCTTATTCGACGGACGAGTTCTTCAGGCAACGTACCAAGACGTCTCATCTGTTCAAGGATCGCTGAGAGGTATTGACTCACAGTCATCCGCTGTGTCTGCTCTACATTCCTCCATTACAGCTTTTGGAAACGAGTTGGTAGGGGGGGAAAAAAATAAGCAGCCACTACGGCTGCGTGAGGTGATCTTACAGGAGAGACCCTACAAAAAGGAACAGCGCACCGGAAAGGAAACCTCCAGGCCAGGAGAAGAACCGAGGCGCGACGCCATGGCCAGGAAGGCTAAACTGACATGACGGGATGGTCTTGTCTTCACCCTTGGAAGAACGTGGGACTTCAACGAAGATGACTCCGAGAACTGAAAGCGGCACCGCAGACTTTCAACGAAGATAGGTTCTACTTGCTTATGTCGCAAAGTGGCTCGCCGAGTACCGGCGGGTATACTCAAGTAAGACCAATATGCACTCGAAAAACGTTCATCAAGAGTTCTTCTGTAGAAGAACTCTTCACGAACGTTTTTCGTTCATCAAGTTCTTCTATAGTTCTCGAGTTCGTCGAATTTTTCTATAGAAGAACTCTTGACGAACGTTGGTGGAGTGCATATTGGTCCTACTTGAGTAGCTATGCTCTCAAATGTTAATTGGTTCGAGGATGCTGTGCCTGTAATGAAAATTGTACGAATTCACTTTATATTGAACTTGCTTATGAATACCCAACCTACCCTCGTATTGCATAACTTCATCTAAATAGCACGGACCAAATATTTCAGTTATTATATTCCGAAGCCGCTTTTCGATAACAAGTTATCGTTAGCCTGAACCTCGGTTCGTCTCACGCCACTGCACTGCCATTCCCACCTACTGTTTACCGACGGTAACGGGGAACAATGGCTCTGTGTCGTGATCTCTGATCGATAACGTGTAGTACTGCTTTGCCCGTTCCGGAATTCATTTACTCGTTGCTATGGGTACGCCGTTGCATTATGCGAGGGCATCAGATAAGATCCAACAATCCACATTGTGGACGCCCCGAGAGTCTTTAGCAAGTATTGTGAGCACTGAGAGACATGTTTGTGTGGGAGTGCTTTTGCGTCACAGCTGCGGGCGCACGTGGAACTGAAGGTTGACGGCGAAGTCGTCGTACACGTGCATAATTCACACTTCGGAGCTGTATAGCGCGACAGTTTGCTATTACGATTCCTTCTATTGTTTTCTTATAATCAATAATCGCGAATTATACGGTTGCAATGTATAGAATCTGATGAAAACTGAGAACGAAAGGTAAAAAGAATCGCGAAAGAAACGAGTAGACAACGAGAACAATTGTCACGTAAACTTCATCTAAAAAACCCTCCGCGCAGCAGGTCATGAAGAGGCGTTATATAGACGTAAACGCATGCTTGAATTTAGAAATGCCTCCGCATGCAGGATGTGACGTCACCTCCGAAATCCAATGCTCCAGCTGAAAACGTCAGATAAGACAGCCTTATACAGACCACTTAAAAACGAGTGCACCTGCAAAGCCTCTTCGATTTGCTTCTGCGGACTTGCCGAGAGTGACCGGTACGTTGTGTCTATGCCAACCGTCATGGGCTGATTGAAATTGCGCCATGGACCGGGTCGATCAGAGTAAGATGCCTATAGCGTCACATACTCGTCTATAATCGACAGCCATTCACTCACCTGCGACCCAGAGTGGGCGTCCACTGTGCCGTGGTGTTGTTTCCAGGCGTTGAACACCGTCTGCTTGCTGGCCTTGGCCGGCGCAGGCGTGCGCTCCAGGCCGACGCGCTCCGGGCAACGCTCGAAGAGCAACACGCGCTCGGCCACAGAACCCTTGGTGAGAAAAGGGCGCACGGGCACGTGCATGTGAACGCGCTCGGTGGGCGACAGCGAGCGTTCGCGGATGTGCTGCTTCTGTGACGAGGTGAGCCGCGGGTGCGGGATGCTTGGCGGTGAACTGGCCTCCAGGAACAACGCTTCCGGCGAGTTGAGTCGCCTCGGCGAGGTCGACAGTGGCGAGTCCAAATCAGGCGCCTGCAAATCGTGATTGCTGTTGCTTCCAGGGATCGCGACGGGAGCGCTCCTGCTGCTCTCGACTCTGTTGGGCCACAGCTGTTCCGCCGGAGAGCTCGGAGAGGTCAACGACTCCCAGCGGCTCTTGGCATCGTTCACCACATGGCCATTCTTGCAGGGCTTCTGCTTGAAAAGTTCCTCGAATTGTTTTGGTTCGGGGAGGCCTTGAAATCTAGATTTGGCATAATCCATGGCAGCGGAGGTCACCGCGGACGCATTTCTGTTGCCGCTGACGGGCTTTACGGTGATGACGGGCTTAGACACCGGTGAGGACGTAGAGTGCACTGTTTTTCGCTCTTTGGAAACAACGCCACTGTCCAATTTTGCCGGCTTAGACGGCTGTTGACTAGAAACCTTGGGGTTGAGCTCTTTTGGGCTGTTAGAGTGGCTCGAAAGCCTAGCGGAGGTATCCTTAGCACTGTCTTTCACAGAAGACCCCCTCAAAGATGGCGAATCTCGGGCTGTCACGTTGTCAATCGCTGCCGTCGTTGTTGATTTTGAGGGTGCCACGGCTGGAACATAGGTGGCACTGAAGGTAGGGGGTGGAGGCGTCGAAGGTTTAGGAGCTCCAGTGACTAGAGATATAACACTCGGTGGTGACAGCTTGAACACCTTTCTTTGACTACCAGGAGCTGGAGAAGGCGATTTCTCAGTTTTCTCGCTATCTGTCGAAACATCTGAAGAAGGGATGTGTTCATGTCCATCTACAGCGAGAAGAGACCTCGTCTTTGAGGTTGGCTTGTCTGTTCTCATTTTAGTCGCATCACTCTCGTGCGAATTGTACGCGGGAGACATTTTTGAAGTCTTCAGATTGGACGTAAGATCTTTCGAAGTGGCAGCACTCGCTGGCGTTTTAGTTCCTCCAGACGTGACGCGAGCGGTTACATCCTTCTTCGTTGTCACACCTGTGCCGGATGTCACCAGAACGGTGCCAAGCTTTCTGGGCGCAGCGTCGCTGGCCAATTTGTCGTTTTTTGTCTTGCTCGCGCCCTTCACTTCAGGATCAGCACTTTTGAGTCGCTTTTTATTCAAGTCATCCTTCACGGAAGGTTTTGACTCTTGCTTTCCCCCGTACGACGATGGTACCACGCTGGAACTGCCCGCTCCTACGGTAGACTGGTTCGAAGCCAGCTTCTTAGTGGTCGAAGCCTGTGACGAAGTCATGGCTGTTTTGGACTTCCTGGCCGCGGTTTTCACTTTGTCCTGAGCGACGAAAGAGTTGACTAGCGCTTCGAGCTTGCCTTCTAAATCAACGGCCAAGAGTTCGACGGGATCCAGCCCATCTATACTCAAGTCCGTTACCGTAGATGTCGCTGACTGGGGCCTGGGAGGCTGCGGTGCCATGATGATGGCGGCCGACGCCGGCCTCACCGCGTACGATGGTAGCTTTAGCAAGGGCGAGCACACACCGTAATGCACGGCTTTGCAATTGTTCGCCGATATTAACTGCGGATCCGGACAGCAGGGTTCGTGCTCAACCACGTGCACCGAACGACTTCGAGACAAGTCCACCAGTGCGCTGTGGTACAGGGTCACTCTCGTCACCACGTATTGGCAGCACGCATAACTCAGCATAATCTTTGTTACTTTTTCCCTTCCTATTTTATGCCGTCACGAGGCTTCTCGCAACCGCCGCTGCGGGACGGCGTAGCAGCCCATCCTCATAGGCGCACGGCGCAGCGTTCGCTTTCGTCACCAGCGTAGAGGTCGTTGTCGAGCGCCTAGCGTGTGTCTTCATCAAAGCGAGAATGAGTGCACTTGACACGGCAGTAGCAACGGCACGCAGCGTAGTGCCCTGTCGCAAAATGGCACCACTTTAAATGAAGTAGGAAGCGCAACGCGACGACCGTGTCTTGGAGAAGTGCAGAGAGAGAAAGGGAGAACCTCGTCAAGGAGACACACGGTTTTCTTTCCAGACACGAAAGAATCTCCGCGGAGTGGTATCCGAGGACGGCACCAAACACACACACACACGCACACCAAACGCTTGAACACAAACGCACAAAGATGGGAAGAGAAAAAGTTGCGGAGAAGTGGACGTAGGCCGCAAAAATGAGGCACCAGATGCTAAAATAAAAGTCACGCGAGAAATATGAGAAAATTAGAACAAGACAATGGCTGCATCTAACGATCCACGTTCGGAAGGCACAGTGCGAAGAAACTGGATGGCGTATTTCCCGATGGAGAGGTAAACGAAGAACCGACAACGACGCAGGCGTCGCTGGCTGGCCCGGGAGCCCACCACGGTTGACTCACACGCGCACCTCACACGGCTCAGCAGTCTTAAATAAAGCGCCTCGCACGAGTCACAGACACGTTACGGGTACCTCGAGTTACTAGGGGTGGCAGCACACGGCGGAGGATTCCAGCTTCGAGGAAACGAAAGATGCAGACGCAAAATAAAACAAGTAAAAAAATCAATAGGCACACGGTTCACATGTCCCATCGGTCTGTCGAACGTTCAATCGGCAGAGTGGCCGAGATGATGCGGAGGCGTCCGCGGGATGAAGAGATGAGGACACGCAGCAGCTCCTCTCTCAAGCAGCGGTGGGAGATGACGACGTCGGCCTGGCGAAACGCGGTCCGCCGCCTTCCTCGCTCTTCCTAAAAAAAGCTCCGGCTGCTGCGGGCCTGTGTCCTAGGGCGGTGGCAGCGCCGAAGGAGCAGCGGCTGCTACGGCAGCGCCTCGGGGCAGCCGTGCAGCAAAGCGTCAGCCGCACTCGCGCACACAGCTAAGCGGTGGGACCCGCGGCAAGCAGGGCCGCCGCCGCAGCTCCTGCGGGCGGCAGCTGCTGCTATTAGTGTCGCCACGTCCTTATAAGGGTCCCTGTGGTGGGTGAGCAGCAGTCTCCTGTCTCTCAGAGGAGAACTCCACTCTGCTCTGGAGCAGCACGCTGCGGAGGAGCAGCCGCCTCCACAGCCGCGCCTTCTTCCTGCCTCCTCGAGGCGCTACTAACCGACTCCCGCGGGCATCCTCTCACGGTAGCCGAGATGATGATCGCTCCAGCCTTCGCCGACGACGACGCTCCTCTTCGGATACGCTGGGCTGGAGAAAGCTGCTGCGCCCAGCACCGGCGCAGCGCTCGAGCATGAGAACGGCGAGGAGTGGCGGCTGTCGCAGTGGTTGTGCCGCGGCGGCCTCGCCGCCGCCGGGCGGCCGCCGCGGAAGTGGGAAACGGCCTACTCCTCTTTGACGCCGGCACTCGCACAAACACACCACCACCGCCCGCCGAACGAGAGCGGCGCCGACGCGGCCGTTGTGGGGGGGCGGGGTCCGTATATCAAATTGCCAGGGCACGCGCGCACTCTGCGGGGCGCCTGTTGCCGCCGCGGCAGCGCGTGTCCGAAGGTGGTGCCGAGCGAAAACGCCGCTGCTGAGTGCGTGGTCGCGTGGCCTTCGCTTTCTTTTTCCTCCTCTGTTCGTTCCGAAGTTGTAAAACGACGAACGACGAGGCGTCAAAAAAGCCGTTTATTTAGTAGTCGGAGAGTGTGCCCGCGAACCAAGGCGTTAAATGCGCCCGTTGCCGGTCTGCCAGGTGAAGTCGGAGGCAGAAAGGATTCGTGCCAGGAGGTTTCGGCAAGAGCGACACAGACTCTCCTCGTAGCAGCGAACGCTCCGTTCTCACTCTCGCTATGCAGCACACATTCGCCGCGTGCCGACCACGTAAGGTGTTCCTTTCAGTGGAATGTGAGAGGAGGCCACGCGAGAGTGAAATGCCCTGCCGGTGTGCGGGCGCAAAGAAACTCCGCGCGTCGTCTACGTGGGGATACGCTAATGTGATCAGGGAGAGGGATCTAGCGATGAGAGCGCTTAAGCTCACGGTCGCTTGAAAATATATACGAGCAACTTTCACAAGAATCTGAAATTGGAAGGTAGGAGTAGTGACGTTAAACCTTGCTCCATCCCGTGGCTACGCAACTGCAACCATTCATCCATTCATATGCGAGGTAGCCCCACAAGCTGCCGCGTGCATTGAGATCGCCAAGAAGAAGATAAGGTTGCGACAAGTGATTTATTAAACATTGAAATGGATGTGACAGCAGAGGAGCTATTACAATCGAGCTTGGCCGTTTGTTGCTGATCGAAAATCATCATAATCATAAACCGGAACTAGATTCGAGCGCGCGTACCCACGAACCGAAGGCGAATGTCCAATAGCAATTCGGCTATCCATCTCTGCTATCGGGGCATGGCATAGCTCTGTATAGTAGGAAGGGGTGTGAAAGAGAAGCGAGTGTGAGGAGGACAGTTGGGAGGGAAAGGAGGGGCGACAGAGGAGAGAGAGAGAGAAACAGAATGAAATGGAACAACGAGAAAAAAGATAGAAGGCTAGAGTACGACTACAGAGAGAGACATGGAAAAGCAAATAAGAACCTAATAGGTAGAAAGTGCCGTGATAAAATATAAAAAATTCAGAGAAATATATACAAAAACAGACATAACAAAGAGAAAACAGCTAGCATACCTATATTTAGTATAGTATGTAAAGGGGTGGTAGAGAGAGAGATAGTAAATACCTGGCCATGCGCGGGTGAACTGAGTGCCCGCTAGCTCGGCTGTCCATTGCTCGGCTCTGACCCAATCGTGTTTGTGTTTGTGTGACAATGAGAAATACGTAAAGCGAGCTGATTATGATCAGTTTCTTAAATATACAGCCTGAACGGCCACAGTGTCTAGTGCTGATTGGCTTGGATGGATCTGAAGGGCTACACTCCACATGCCTGGACAGCTCCGTAGGTCCAAAATAATGGTTGCACCGCTGCATGGTGCGACATACTGGCGGGAGAAGTTAGTGTGTGAGAAATGAAGGTGTGTGTTCTGCACACTCAGAACCTGAGCACAAAATTTACTTAAAACTTCTTGTTCACCGTCCAGGTTAAGTCAGAGTGCCTTGACGTTCCACTGCATTATTTCATCCGAATCCACCCATCAGACCTGGTGAAAAAAAGGACATTCTGCAACAGCAAACACTGCCTTGGACATACCAACCAAATTTTGTAGTCGTGCGTGGCAAGTAGAGTTTACAAAGGGAGTGCGAAGTTGTCACTTTCTGAAGTGTCCTCTCTTCGTACAGAGGCCCCGCCTTCACTCAATTTGGAGGGCGGGGCGCCAACTGTATGTCGTCAAACAACGCATTGCCGCTATGGACTGATAGCTGACAGATTATAAGGAACTGAGTTTGGATTAGATGCGCTCCTTGTTACTGCAGAGTGCCGTCACGTTCCTTCGTAGCAACCCATGTTTTTCTCTTTTATTTTTCGTTGGCACATGTCCCGCCTGCTAGCGCACTGCAAGAGGAAGGCGTTCAAGTTAACCTCTGTTGTAGCCTTGCTGGCGTAGCAACGCTACGAGCACTTAACCACCACGGAGGAGAGCGAGTGCGTTTCATGACGCATGCCCCATATCATGACGAGCACTTACGTAACTTCTTTTCGCCATGCCATATCCGTGGCTGATAGTGACGTCGCCAGGGTGCACACTGCGCCCGTGCTCTCTTCTCCAGAATTTATTTTCTTTGCCACACTCTAATAAGCCGCAAATGATCGAAAAGGGGGCGAAATGGGCGTAAGTGCTGCATTTAGTCCCTAAAACCAACGGTTAGTCCGTGGAGAGGTTAACTGCAAGACTAGAGTGCCATGTGCAAACAGAGGGAGGAACTGTTAGACCATGCGGAGCAACGCTTACTCCCGCGGAACTTGCCGGCGCAGACGTGGCCTTGAAGGAATGGTCGGCATGCGCGTAAGCAAATAGTTACCTAAACGAATGAGCTGTCAACAGTTTGAGTTAGGGTAAATGGCCGTGAGAACTACAACTACGTTAGGAGCAAAGTAATATTGTTTATATAGTGAAAACATAAGCAAATGTGTAAGCCCCCCCCCCCCCAAAAAAAAAAGTGCTCGTGCTCATGCTGTATCAATGCGCGGCGTGATGTTCTCGCCAAGGTAACGCTCGTTGGTGTAGCGGTGTGTTGTGGATGTGTTATGGTTTGTGGTTGTGATTGCTGTCTCTTGTGGTGCACTGAATCATCTCTGCGCTGTCGGAAACGTGATCCGATACTTGAATGAAGTGCTACGCTATCGAAATGGTACGCGCCGACTGGAATATCGCCTGAATGGTGAGTGTAAACAAGACTGGCACACTCCGAGATATTTATCTCTGTGCTGTTGATATGTAATGAGCAACGTTCGTTTAACACTCACGTTCTTCGCGAAGAAAACCCGCATAGTTAGTGAGCTCGCGCTGTACAGCGTTGCGAGAGCTGCCCCGTCACAAATGTGCATGAGCCATGGAAACGTGGTAGCCATTAGCTGTAGCAAGTACAGCTGTTCATAAATTGTTTTGCTTTGAGTGCAGCACAAGTAAGCATTGTTCAACAGAGATTGCCGCACTTTAAAAAATAAATTCACCTAAACTCCACACAATGTCATTTTTTTACAAAGTAAACAACTAATTTAGGAAAGTCTGCTGTTGACATTGCATGTCTAGCTTGGCTTGACACGGCTAACACAGGCAGTCGGCGACCACGTCGGTGATTTCGCTCGTTTGTAGCGATGCTAGGCATGTTTCAGTTTTAAATCTCTAAAATGAAGCACGAGCTTCATTGATAAATAAGTGCGCCCCTACGCGTATCGCAGTGAAAGCTCGAGAGCGGGCTTCTTGCGCTTCATAACACGTTTTGAACTGTTCCATTGCATTATGACAGGTTCTGTGAAAAAACAGTTTTGTCTATATTTTACGTGATTGGACGTTAATTCAAGTGCACGAACAGTTCTGTCTGAAATAATGAATGCTTCTGCAATTACTTTTTCAGACAACCAATGAATGAAAGCGTTGCGCCTTCCGAGAAAAGTTAATACCTGGCAGCTACGAACACGCTCTCCGCAGCTGTCAAAGGGGTGGTTGCACTTCGTGAAGTCGGCTGCACAGCATCCATTCCCATGAAGCATTATTTTTTTTATTGTCTCTCCTAGATTGTATATTTTGTACTAATAAAATGCAATGTGTGCGCACGATGGTGCAGAATCGACACGAGTCACTGAATAAACTTGGCTATTTCTTTAAGCGTTCTCTTATTTTTTTTGTCATTAAACAAACATTTTCACTGAACAACCGCGCTCTGTAAGCGAGCAAGATTGACACAACGATGGCAACATATACGGCAACACTTATGTATACATTTGCTCAACAAACATACGAACGCGCCCAAACCGCGTGCGCAGAAATACATATTCAACGCATTTCACATTTTCACGTACGTGTTCACTGAATGGTTGCTTGCCAAACACTGAAGGCTTAAGACCAATAAGGAATCTTTTATAGCTTGAGGAACATGGCAGAACGCGCAGCGTTTTGACGGTGCCTACATATGCCCCGGTAATTTTCACTCCAATATTGTCACGGGGTCGTGACGTGGCCGAAGACAGGAGACTTCGTGTTGGGATTTAACTGTTTATATGGGCGAACCTGTGCCCGGTAAACGGAAAGTCCAATTACAGCAGCAGTCTCGCACAGATAGCACTCTCGGACTGATAGCGGCGAACGGAGCGTCGGCCTTCGATCAACAACTGACAAGCGGCGAAGCGCGTCGGCATTTATACTCTTGCCGTCGAATGTTCTAGCGTTATCGCTGGCGTAGGTTCCAGAACAATCTGTACCGTTCGCACAGTGGGCGTGATCTTATCGA